TTATTTAATCTACTTCCACTATTTCAATGATATTTATTTTTTCATTTATTTAAATTTTATATTCTTCTTATCTATTATAGAACTTTATTACCTATTTTTTTTAAATAATGTTTAAAATATGATTTAGTGTTCAATTTTTTATAATGAAAAAAATTTAAAATTTATTTAAAACAGTATATAAAACATAAATACTTATTAAAAAAAATATATAAAACATAAATAATACCCTACCTCACTCTGAACGAGGCAAGTTTTCTCAAATCTTAAATAGGGACAGGGAAGAGACAAGGTGAGGATGGGGAAAATATTTTTGCTCCAAATCAGGGACAAGGATTGCATATAATTTCCAAAACTTGATGGTAAATTAGTAAAATTTCAATAAATTTAATATTGACTTTTAAAATATCTCTTAAGTTTTTCTTCATATTATTCAATCCTAGGATCCCATTTATAAAATATCCCTAAATTGTCATAATCCAATTCCTAAAATACCCCAAATTCCCATAATCCTATTTGTAAAATATCCAAAAATTAGATTATTTTTTGGTGGTTGCATGAGGGTAGAGAAATTTTGGGGATTCTCCACCCCTAACGTGTAATGGGTGCCTCGCCTCCAACCCGCCCCACCACTAGGGATGGGGTAGAATGTCTTGACTACGGGGGCGAGGGATAGGGAAGGGTGCGACATCCCGTGCATCACATGGCGCCCCGCTAGTTATAATTACTTTTGTGCTTTTGATAATTTTTTTTAAAGTTATAACATAATTTGTTATTTAATCTATTTTTTTTTCAAATAATATATAAGATATGATTTAGTTATTAATATTATTTAATTTTTTAAATAATACCATTATTTAAATTTTTAAAATTTTGTTTTTTTTTTAATTTAATAATCCATGAAATTATAATTTATACTATTATCACATAATTTCGTTATTAATTTTGTCAAATATAAATTTATTATTAATTCAAAAGTTATGAAATCTATTCTAACTATTATACTACTCTTAAGGATTTTTTTAAAATTTATTACATAATTTTGTTATTTTAAACATTTTGTAAATTTTAAAAATTTTGTGAATTTTAAACATTTTGTTAGAATAGTTATGAAATCTATTCTAACTATTATACTACTCTTATGTAATTTTAAACATTTTGTTACATAAGTTTTTAGCTATTTTTAATATTTTGTGATTTAAATAATTTTTTATTTATGTTTTTAAAATATTATCTAGTTATTAAATTGAATAATCCATAAAATTATAATTTATATTATTATTACATAATTTCATTATGAATTTCATAAAAATATAAAATTATTAATAATATGAATATTATTAAACCTATTATAATTATTTTTTATGTTTTTAATAAATATTTTAAAGTTATTAAATTAATTTCATTATAATATTTAAATAATTGTTAAATGTTTTAATTGAAAGTTTCTTTAGATAGATATAGATGAAAAGTAGGGGTTAGGATAAATAGGAATTAAAGATAATTTAGTAGATAAATATGAATTAGGGAGAGATAGAGATAATTTAGGAGAAAGTGGGGGATAGTTGGTTAAGACATGTTAGGTGGCAACTCCTAGTGATTCTAGAGGTAATCTTGCAACCCCTTTGGAATTGCTTGGTTTGGGTAACAAAGTAAGGAGAGGACTGCTCACATAGCAAGCTCTACTTTAGTATATACTAATGGGGCTCTATGCAATGCACGGGATGGGGCACTCCTCCCTGTCCCTCACCCCTGTAGTCAAGAAACTCTACCCCATCCTTGCCCGATCCCTAGTGATGGGGCAGGTTCAAGGTGAGGCACCCATTCCCTCTCGGGGATGGGGAGTCCCCAAATTTTCCCCACCCTGAGGCAAACACTTGAAAATAATTTAATTTGTCTATATTTTACAAATATGATTATGTGAATTTGGGGTATTTTAAGAATTGGATTATGACAAATTGGGGGTATTTTATCAATGAAATTGTGGGATCCTAGGATTATAAGAATATGGGGAAAACTTAGAGGTATTTTAAAAATCAATATGAAATATATTAATATTTTACTAATTTACCATCGGGTTTGAGGAATTATTTGCAAACCCCGTCCCTGATTTGGAGAAAAAATATTTTCCCTGTCCCCACCTTTTCTTCACCATCCCTATTTAAAATCTGAGAAAACTTACCCTGTTCGGGGTGGGGTGAGGTAGGGTCCTAGTTTTACTAGAAAAATTGCCATCCCTATAATTCTAATAATTTTCTATAACTAATTAACTAATAGTAAATTAAATAACAACAAATTACAATATTTGATGATAATTTCCAAAAATTATTGAAATTGTTGTTGATTAGCAAAAATGTATAGTAAGTTAGTTATTTACAATAACAATAAATTAATGTGAACTAATGTAAATTATTTACTATTAATCAATGTGATGTAATTATAGTAAATTAATGTAATTATGGTAAATTACATTAATTTTAATTAGAAGTAAATCATTTATTGTTAATTAATGTAAAACCAAGAGTGGTTGAAGTCAACCAAGTGGTCTAGACCGGTGTGGATAGATTTAATAATTTTCCTAAATAATTTAATAATTAGTTATTAAAATAATAATATTGGATTGTTATTTAAATAATGTGAAACAATTCTCATAGATTAATTTCCTAACTTAATTTTCCAATTTTTTTATAATTATTTAGTTGAATAATAATAATAATGGACTATTATTTAAATAGTTTTGGAGTATTTTTTTTGTAGATTAATTTCCTAATTTTTAATTATTATTTATTTTAAAAATTATAGATTATATATTAGTTAAAGAGTTTCCATGGATTAATTATTTGATAATTGTTAACTATAACTATTGATTTTATAGAAATTAATAAATTACGCCAATTAGTAATATCTTTTGCAAATAAATAATTGTTGTATAAATTTAATGGAAATTTATTAAATTACAATGATTAATGTAAATTATGCGAAATATTAAAAATTTAAACATTTATTAATTAACCAATGGTTAGTTTTCACTAATGGTTCGCCAGTTTTGTGTGACCATTCCCTAACTTGACCAGATCAATTTGGCTAGCCAAACAATCTTCAACTGTACTGAATTGCCTAGTGAAAACTCCTAATTTCAGCTAAATTAATAGTTTAATCTCTAACAAATAACAATAGTTCAATCTCCAATAATTATTGAAAATTTATAGTGAAAATACACAATTCCTCACAATATATTTATAATGAAAATACAATAAATAACTAATAAAAAATCTTTAATACCTCTTAATTATTTAATCTACTTCCACTATTTCAATAATACTTATTTTTTCATTAATTCATATTTTATATTCTTATTAAAGTTACTACATAGTATTGTTATTTAATCTATTTTTTGTTTTTAAATAATGTTTTAAATATGATTTACTATTAAATTTTTTATATTGAAAACATAAAAATTTATTTAAAAATAGTATATAAAACATAAATAATTATTAAAAAAAATATACAAAAAATAAATAATACCCTGCCCCACCCCGAACTGGGCAAGTTTTATTTAATATTATTTAGTTATTATAATAAGATATAATTTAGTTGTTAATATTATTTAATTATTTAAATAATACCATTATTTAAAATTTTAAAATATTAATTATTTATTAAATTTAATAAGCCATGAAATTATAATTTATACTATTATTACATAAGTTATGAAATCTATTATAATTATTATTCTACTCTTAATAATTTTTTTTAAATTTATTCCCTAATTTCGTTATTTTAACTATTTAAAATTTAGTTATGTTAAATATTTCATTATTTAAATATTTAAATAATATGTAAAATATTTAATATTTTTGTTATTTAAATTTTATTTCTTTAAAGTTATTATGCAATTTTAAATATTTTGATACAAAATTATTTAGCTATTTTTAGTGTTTTGTTATTCAAATTTATTTTTATTTATGCTTTTAAAATATTATTTAGTTATTAAATTGAATAATCCATAAAATTATAATTTATATTGTTATTATAAATTTCATTATGAATTTCATAAAAATATAAAATTATTAATAATATGAATATTATTATTAAGGGATTTTTATCGTGTTCGAATTGGTGGAGGAAACAGTAATTGCATATTTAATGGTGGGAGTTAACCATCAATTCACAAACCGTACAAGGCCATCGGCCATTTCGATTTCTGAGGTGGAGTAAACGATAAAAACCCCTATTATTTATTAAACCTATTATCCTATTATTTATTAAACCCATTATAATTATTTTTTTTGTGTTTTTAATAAAGATTTTAAAATTATTAACATAATTTCATTATACTATTTAAATAATTGTTAAATGTTTTAATTGTGGGGTGTGGGGGGGGGGGAGGACAAATAGGAACTAGAGATAATTTAGGAGATAAATAGGGATTAGGTAGAGATAGAGATAATTTAAGAGAAAGTAGGAATAGTTAGTTTCCTAATAGAAAAGAGAGGAGGAAAAGATAGGTGGCAACTCCTGGTACTTATAGAAGGAACCTTGCACCCCTCTAGAATTGGTGGGTTTGGGTAACGGAGCATGGAGAGAGGACTGCTGGCATGGCAAGCTCTAATAGATTGTATCAGTTATAAGAAGAGTTTGCATTTATGAGTTTTTATGGAGTAAGATGCATTTTTGAGTTGTATCATATGGAGTAGAGGACTGTACACGTGGTCAAATCCATAATTCCGTTTAGTTGGTTGGCAGTTAGATTGGCCACATCATATGGAAGAAATAGGACAAATGCATCATAGACGATCATACACCTTACCACCTTAGAGGATTGAGCCGAGTAGGGGAACTTTCCCTAAACACATGAAACAAATTTCCCAAACAATTAGAATTTGTATGGCCCAAGCCCAGCCCATTTGGATGGCTAGATCCAGGCCCAGCCCCCCTAAGCCTTCCCAGTTCCCTCTAGGCTTCGTTCTTTCTACTTGCTAGGGTTTATAAGCTACTGGTTTTCTACATCATTCTTTCCCTCTCCCTCCCCCTCCCCCTCTGTAAAACCTCTCTGCAAATCGGGAAAGGAAGAAAGCAAATTCCTTCGAGCAAGAATGGTAGGGTTCGAGGTAGGGGCAGTTCCCTTCAACCCAGATGGATGGGGTCCTCCTGAGACACCCGCTCCACTCCTCTCCAACCATCCCAGCAACGTCCCCTTCGCTCCCTTCTCTCGCTCCGAGAAACTTGGCCGCATTGCCGACTGGACTCGCAACTATAACCCATCTCGCAACAACCCTCGAAACCCCTCCGACGCTGTCTTTGATTTCGCCCTTGACGAATCCTCCGCTGCTCTCGCCGCTGATGATGATTCCACCTTCCGCCTCGTCGACGGCAAGCCCCCTTCTCGCCCCAGGTTCGGCCCCAAGTGGCGTTTCCAACAGCAACGCCAGCTCCCTCAACGTCGTGACGAAGAAGTCGAAGCCCGCAAGCGCGAAGCTGAGAAGGAACGTGCCCGCCGCGACCGCCTCTACAATCTAAACCGCTCCGGTGCTAACGTTCCCCGTCGTGAAGCTGCCGTCTTCAAATCATCCGTCGATATCCAGCCCGAATGGACTATGCTCGATCAAATCCCGTTTTCCACATTCTCTAAACTCTCGTTCTCTGTTCCGGAGCCTGAAGACCTCCTTGTGTGCGGTGCTCTTGAATTCTATGACCGAACTTATGACCGTGTTAATCCTAAGAATGAGAAACGCCTTGAGCGCTTCAAGAATAGGAACTTCTTCAAAGTTACTACTACCGACGATCCGATCATCCGCCGCCTTGCAAACGAGGATAAAGCAACTGTCTTTGCCACTGATTCGATTCTTTCGACTCTGATGTGCACCCCCAGATCGGTTTACTCATGGGACATTGTCATTCAGCGAGTGGGGAACAAGTTATTTTTTGATAAACGTGATGGGTCGCAACTTGATCTGCTTTCTGTTAACGAGACGTCACAAGAGCCATTGCCCGAGGCCAAGGAAGATATTAATTCTGCATATTCTTTGAGTGTTGAGGCAGCTTATATTAACCAGAATTTCTCACAGCAGGTTTTGCTTAGGGATGGGAACAAGGTGACCTTTGAAGAGCCAAATCCATTTGCCGCTGAAGGGGAAGAAGTTGCTTCTGTTGCTTATCGCTATCGGCGGTGGAAACTTGATGATGACATGTATCTCGTTGCACGGTGTGAGGTCCAGAGTGTCTCGGATGTGAAGGGGCAGAGGTCTTTCTTGACGTTGAATGCACTTAATGAGTTTGATCCCAAATATTCGGGAGTTGACTGGAGGCAAAAGTTGGAGACGCAGAGGGGAGCTGTTTTGGCTACTGAATTGAAGAACAATGCAAACAAACTTGCAAAGTGGACTGCTCAGGCACTGTTGGCAAGTGCGGATGTAATGAAGTTGGGATATGTTTCAAGAGTTCATCCCCGGGATCATTTTAACCATGTCATCTTATCTGTTGTTGGATATAAACCAAGGGAATTTGCGACCCAGATCAATCTGAATACTTCAAACATGTGGGGGATTGTTAAGTCCATTGTTGATTTGTGCATGAAATTGAATGAAGGAAAATATGTTCTGGTTAAAGACCCATCAAAACCACAAGTTAGGATTTATGAGGTTCCTGCAGATGCATTTGAGAATGATTATGTGGAGGAACCATTGCCAGAGGAGGAACAGGTGCAACCCCTAGCTGAAGAAGATGGAAATGATGGTGAGGCTATTGCTTCTACGAATGGTGTGGAAGAAAAGGAGATAAATGCTGAGGTTTAAGGGTAATATATATTTCTTTGAGGCCTCTTTGTTCTTGTTAATGTCAGGAGCGTTAATTGCTTGGTCTTTTCAGTTTTTCTTGAGATAGTTGGTTTCTTATGAATTCAATATTTAAATGTTATTTACCTTATAAGAAAGTGGTTTTGTTATGTGGCAATGTTATTTTCATTCTAGTATGAACATTAATGTTTTGTGATTATTTTCCTTCTATGTCCTATAAATATGGTTGTGAGCATGATATATACACCATGTATTGGACTATTGGTTGCCTTTTGGTTGCACTAAACTGACGAGCTTTACTGATCCAGCTTGTTGATATGGACTATAAACCATGAAATTAAATAAGATAGTATTTTAGGGAGTTTGGATGTGCAGTAATCTCTAAGTCTCGTATTTTATTGACGGTGTTAGAAGTCCTAGTCCTATAAGAAGAAATGGAATGTTTTCATCCTCTTTCTTCTTTATTATTTTCCATTTTGCTCTTCAAATGTATGTGATTATGGAGCTAATTTCTCATAAGCAGGACTGAGGATGGTTGTAGATGGTATATGGTGCTTGCCTGCTTGGCTTGTTACCACATCTAATGGGGCTACAATATTGCATGTAATGGGTGACCTTTGTGACAGTTTGTTCAAGTTAAGACTACTTTAGATAATTGTACTTTAGTGGTATTGGCAAGTATATAGATAATGGGATCTCCTTCAGTGGCATAACAAAATGTAGAAAGAGATTGCTGATTGAAGACCGGAATGAATTGGGTGTCTCTACTAGGAAGTAGGAAAATGTAACAAGTGTAAAGATGTGTAAGCAAACTAAGAGCCCATTTGAGAGGGCTTCAGCTTTGATTGAGCTGTGTTACTGAGCCACTTTGAAGAAACTACTACAACTAGCTTCACCAGGAAGTTGATTTATTATCTTAATAAAAGCATATTCTGGCTTTCTGGGTTTTTTTACCAATCATAGCTTCTATGCTTTCCATATGGGGCTCACCTTGCGACGCCAGAAGCTGCTGTGTGAAAGCCCTCCCAAATGAAATTTAAAAAAAAAGGCTCTCCCAAATGAGTACTATGGTGGTATGACTTGTTCATGGAAAGCAGGGCTTATTTGGAACTTAATAGTTTGAAGTTGAGGTTAGAAGTGAAAGCTATCCAAGACTAGGTAGGGTCTAGGGCTGCTTAACAAGAGTAAAAGAAATCTAGGAACAATTGATAGATTAATCTCTTAAAAAATTTCAACTGAACTCTTATTGATAAAAAAATCAACTGAACTCAACTTTCAAGTTGAAGAGATCAATCGATTGGATATTATACCTAAGGACAATTGTTATTTTGTTGCGGCTATCTTAATATTCATAGATGCTTGGTTAAATACTTAAATGGTTTTGCTTAAATAAACTTTTCTGAACTACAAACATAAGATACAAACTTATCTGTTTTGTAAATTGTAATGTTAATGATGCTTTTCATTCTTCTTGAGTTAGGTCTCAGCTGAGGTCATTGTAATCATTTTTATTTTAATAAAACTTTCTTTCTCTTTGCAACAAATAAAATTTCTTTCTCCATGCCACAAAAAAATCTCATAATACAATCTGTGGGCTTAGTAATAGTTAGATCATGGGTGGCTATTACAATCTGGCTTAAGGTTGGGAAGGAGCACCCAAATTTAAGGTGCCAAGTATGTATCATGTGAAATAATAAAAGAGGTACATGTCACATGGGACCAACTTTTAGAACGAAATTTAAGTGCAAATACTTGCACAACCTATGGGTTAATAAGTTATCTTTTTTTTTGAAAGATTAATAAGGGGGATTTGGTTTCTTAATGCATGGTCAGTAAGCTACAATGCAAGGTTAATAAGTAATCACAGATAATCAAATTGAAAGAATGCTTAGAAAGCTATAAATGGAGCACCCTCAGGAGGATTATAAGTACAAAAATGTTTGTTTGGATGATTGTTAAGTTCTATTTAATAGTTATTGATGATAAGGGGATTTGGTTTCTTAATGCATGGTCAGTAAGCTACAATTCTAAATTGGGTCATATCTTCATCCATAGGTTACTTCCATGGGTGAGTTCTGAACTGAAAAATCTTGGTAAGTTATAGGCTCCTTTTTTTGTATCCTGTTGAGATTTATGTTCTGATAATCTTGTGGATATTCATACCGATGAATCTTACCTACATTAGTGGTTAAAATCTTGGAGTTGGCAACAAGTCATGGAGAACTTTAATTGTTGCTATTGACCAAAGAACTTGATTCCTGGGATGCATGTGAAGAAAGTAGGGGTGCAAGTTGGGCAGGTTGGGCTAGGTTTTAGCTCAACCCAGGTCCAACCCTAAGAGTTGGGGCTAAAGCCCGAGCCCAGCCCGCACTAAAATTTGATGCACTCAGGTTTTGCCCAGGCCTGGGATGGGCTCAGGTTAGTCAATCAACACACTAAAAATTGGTATACATGTATGTGTATATGTATGCATGTATACATATATGTAAAAAAAAATTATGCATATATGCATGTGTGCATTCAAATATGTGTCTATATATCCATATATACATGTATATAATTGGGCCAGGTTTGGGTTGGGGTAAGGTAGGCCAGGCTTGGGCTTAGGGGCAAGCCCAATTCAAAAAATTAAAATGCCTGAACTTTTGTGCCCAGGCCCAGCCTGATAACTGAAAATCTAAGTGCAGCCCATGTAAAACTGCAGGTTGGGTCTGTGCAGGCTCAGGTTGGGTCTGCCCAATTTGCACCCCTAGAAAGAGTCGTTAAAAATATCTTTCCCTGTTCTATATAGAGCTAGTGTGGATAAGAATATCTTCGATGTTAATTGCTTTTAAGGAACTTTGGGGCATGTTATGGTTCCCATGTTTATTGGGTGTCAGATCATTTTGTTTTTCTTTTAGAGGTTTGAATGAGAAATTTATCCTATAAGGTGGAGGTGAAAACATTGTACATTCTGCACTAATGGATCATCATCTTCTTTGATTGGTAGGTTTGGGGCTGTGTAACTAGAGTCTCTATCTTGTAGACAATGACTTTTGATAAGATTCCTATTGTGGATCAACTTAGGAGCTTATAATCTCACAAATTGGCTATCGCAGTATCATTGGATTGTTATTGATAAAAAAATATTATTATTATCGTTAGTTGATGCTGTGTTGTCATTATCCTTCTTGATGGGTAGGACTAACTCCTGGTTCTGTGAATGATCTGAGTAGGCATAACTGCTCCAATTGTTAGTGTTGGTCATTTGAGATGGTTGATCGTTATTGTTAATATGCTCTGCTGTCCTTGATCCAGCTTGATTATCAATCTTTAATCTGAATGTGTGTTAATGATGATGTTTTCTGAATGCACATTTTGCATGTGAGTGTGTGTGCATGCAATTGAAACAGGATTCATGTAGCCAACCCCATATAGTTGGGATAAGGCATGAGTGATGATGATGATGATGAATGCGTGTGCTTGCGATTGATAGGTCATCCCCATAATTATTAATACCCAAGTTGGTATTGGATGTTCTCATTTTACGTTCACTCATCCTTTCCTTTCTATACATTGTATTTATGTTTGGATGTGTCCATGTTGTTAACTTCTAATTTATTTTGCTTACCTCTTAATGGAATTTCATGTAGGGGTGGAAATTCTCACCCTATCCATCTAAGCTACCCACTTATAAGGGGGCAAGATTGGTGGTTTCTTAAGGTGGATTGGAAATGGGTGGAATTTTGTATGCATTCATATCTCTCCTCTCATATCAGAAGGATGGATATTTGGGTAGGCATGGGCTGGTTTGGGTTACAGGAGTTCACATCTGATGTGGCTGTGTATTTGGACCCCACGGTGGGCAAGGTGCCATAGGTGCACACAGGACCCACATTTCAATGCATCACTCTCTTATTGGAGCTTGAAAATGAAGGTTGCAGATATTAGAATAGTATAAGCTATTTTGTTTGAACAAATTGGCTCTACATATCCGACGTATAGCCCATCTTTGTGTATTTTGTATGCATACTTTTTCATAAACTAATATTTCATGTTTTTTTCTTCTAAAATTTCAGGATATTAATAGATCGTTATTATGACGTATGATTGAGGATATTGAAGCTAGGTACCTCAGTCTCTGGCGGAGTTAGGATGGCTTGCATATCTTTGTTTTTGAGCTAAATGCTTTAAATTTTCCATTTTTTTTTTTATTTCATCCACCATAACTAGGAAGAGGAATAGGGGACCATATTTTGTTGTCTTTTGTTATTTCTCATTTATTTATTTTTTGTGTACCTGAAGGTGGAATTTTCAGACTCAGAGAGCTAATACAAAAGATTTTTAGTACCAGTGTTTATTTTAGTTTAGTAGGAATTCTGTAGAAGAAATCGGCTTACTCCTGGAGAAGTTGAAGCTTGAGTTTAATGGTTTCCTTGCCATAAATGCATAAATGGTTTTCTAGTTTTAATGGAGAGGGTTGAGGTATAATTACGGAAACCTTACAAAAGATACCTGTTAACATGCTTGTTTGATTAAAAGAGTTGAGACAAGGTTCCGCACTCCTAATAATTATAAGAGTAGTGGTGAATTGTATTGTTGATTGATGATGATGAATGAAACTAGCCTTGGTAAAATAACATGAGCTTTAGTGTTCTCATTTCTGTTTAATATCTTCAAACCATTCACACTCCCACGGATATCTTGAAGCAACAAATAGACTTCAAAAGGCACACAAAATGAAGGACCACTGGTTCATTTCATAAGACCATCACAGTCGGATTCAATTACCATTTTCTTCCTTCAGAGCCCAGATCTCCTGGGAGCAAAAAGCTGAAAGTATGGCATTCAGCCGAACATCTGGAATATCTCCTGTTAAATTCATGGTTTGATGACAGAATGTTGGCACTTTTTTATCTCGCAGGAAAATCCCGTCTCCTTCATAACTGCTTAGCTAACCTGATTCCTACCAAAGTAGCTGCTACCTCCGAGAAGGCCAGGGATCTAGGAGTATCAGAAACAGACACCCCACCCTATCTCCTTTCTCCTGGTTCTTTGAGTTGTGTTTTAATTTTAAGCCCAGATTTAATTGATCAGAACTCTAATTTTTAGGTTTTGTACTTTGGGCTTTGGGGCTCAGAAGTGCTTTGGCTTAAAGTTATAATGTTTTTAAAAACATTAGTCTTACCGGCTAATCAAGTCCCTTTTTGCCTCGATTTTGTTTCTCACGGCCCAAACTCAAAAGCAGAAGCTTATCACCCTAAAATTATGGAGGAAAAAAAATCATTTAAGGCCCTCAAGTGGAAAGATTAAATGGCGTTGGGTGCATCTAACACTTAAATCAAAGATCAAATGGATCTTGTACAAATTAGGGCTAAAACTTAAAAGTAACGACATAGTGGCATCATATTATGGATAAGGTTAGGCACATTAGATCATGCCCACTTTCTTTCCCGAAACAATCTGGGCCCGAGGCCCAGCCCACATCGACTTGGGATGGAGATCGTTATTCGTTGGTCAATGTGTTGTGTGACCATTTTTCAAACGAAAACAGACAAAAGATCCATGTGACTTCAGAGTCAAACACCTACGTGGAAGTTGGAGCAGCGCGTAGTCCCCGTCCCATCTCCCATGTCTCACCCTACCTACACGAAGTAAAAAGCCAACGACTCTGGACAATCACAGCCGTACGATCGCACTGCTTCATTTTAGTGTTACGTTGTTTGGTTTGTCATAGCCGTCCGATTGGTGCCTATGAAGTGGGACCCCCTCGTATCCTGGTGGGGCCCATGCAGCATTCTAGCGACACGTTTTTCTGTCGCAAATGTGGGGGCCGAGACTGCGCTGCTAAATGCAATTTGAGCCCAAGCGACCGTCAGTCAGACTCAGCCCATGGGCCTGTTCTCTCTCTTCAAGACTCCAACTGAAGCTATCCCTTCTCTCTCCTCGTCTGATAGTTATCAATAGATCTTCGTATCTAACCTCTTTTCTTCTCTTACTGCCCTATAACAAGGGTTGACTCTTCCAGAATATCTCACTAGATCTTCTTCCGTCTGGGTAAGAATCTTTCAATCACCTAACCTTTTCCTTCTATGACTTTTTTTTTTTGAAATTTTGTTTGCTGTGTTTTCTTGTTAGATCTTTAAGGATCTTGATCATTTCAAGTAGTCGAGATCGTCTTTGGAGAAAACAATTGAATCCTTGTCTGTTTTCCCAGTTAAGATTAGATTTCAGTAAGAATTATGCATTGTGTTCTATTTTTCAGGTTTTGATTTGGTTATTTTTTATTCATTTTGTTCAAATAACTTATCTTTTTGACAATGTTTTCTGGTAATTTTTGTTAACCGGTTTGTTTTCATGTTTCGACGAATGATTCAGCAAAGTTTTAGACTTTTAGTTTATTCACTTATGTTTATACAGAGCGTCCACCCTGGTCTTGGTTCCATTTTTTTCTCCGTGATCTCAAAATTTATTTGTTCAATGTCTTCATGCTTGAATCTCTCTCTCTCTCTCTCTCTCTCTCTCTCTCTCTCTCTCTCTCAATTCTTTTAACATTCATTGTAGTTGTTGGTATTGTTGGGGGAAGAATCGATAGATGAGCTTTGTCTGGTTAGCCCCGGTGGCATCGTTCGATAAATGAGTTTCTTTTCTGTGTTTATTGTCTTCTGATAAAGGGTTTCCTTCTATGTGCTAATATATTTGTTCTCTGTCAGTCATTAGGATCTGAGGGTTTTACAAAATCTTTTCTGGATCAAACAATTGGTGGAAGACATGCCTGTGGAGGTCATGAGAGCTGAAATCGTACAAGTAGCCGTTAAAGATGGAAACGAAGAGATAGATAGCAGAGAACTGAATCAGGGTTTGGCGCTGGATGAGCCAATCAAGTTTGGTTCACATGGAACTGATGGTCCCGTCAAAGCAGAGGTGAATGCTCTTCCAGTTGCTCCGAAGGATGCTGCTGATGAATGGCCTGCACCCAAACAGATCTATTCCTTTTATTTCGTCAAGTATCGGTCATATGAAGACCCTAAGCTGAAGGCCAAAATTGATCAAGCTGACAAGGAGCTTCAGAAAAAGAATCAAGCTCGACTTAAGATCAACGACTTAATAAGGGAGAAGAAGGTATTCTAATGGTTTTCCATGCTTCTGGCATTCTTTGATTTCTTGAATACAGAAATTAAGTGGATTCCTCATATTTGTCAGGATGGTTGAATTTTCATGTGTTTGTATGTGTCAACATGTCTTAATTTTATTTCATAAGATGCCATATAAGTAAAACCTAACGTGTTAGGTTCTGTAATTGTTTGAGCAGTCGGAACGAGCACAGATTATTTCACAATTGAAGCCTTTAACTGCTGAAGACAAGCGATATAGGTCAATTGTGGATGAGAAGAGAAAGGAAATGGAACCCCTTCAACAGGCTCTTGGGAAGCTGCGAAGTGCAAACAATGCAAGCCGAGAGAGGGGTATTGGTTTATGTTCATCTGAAGCAGAGCTTAATGAATTTGTAAGATTAACCTTGAAACTCCCAAATTACTTTGGAATCCTGTATGCAGTTGAGTGTTGTGTGCTATATTGACTCACTCATGGGGATGGTGGAGAACAGATTCAAAGTTTGCATTATCGGATGCAACATGAAAGCATATCATTGGTTGAGGAGAAGCAACTCCTTAGAGAAATCAAGCAGCTTGAGGGCACAAGGGAGAAAGTTATAGCTAATGCAGTTATGAAGGCAAAGATTGAGGATTCGTTGGGTCAGAGAGGAGCTATTCAGGATCAGGTCAAAGTAAGGCTTCAACATATTGACTTGTTTCTTCCCCCTCCATCATCCCTACTACATACTTTTATTTATGTTTTCCCTCCAAAATTGTGCAATCTGATTTTTCTACCACTTGACTAGTCTATAACCAAGCAAGATTTCATGCATATTCATTTCATTGTAGCTTATAGGTGTTGATTTGGATGGAGTAAGAAAGGAGAAACAGACAGTTAGAGCAAAAATTAAGCATTTTGAGGAAAAACTGAAGGCCATAGACAATGAGATTAGTTCATTACAGGAGGAACTGATGGCTGTGATTCAGAAAAGGGATAAGGCATATGAAAGCCTTGTTGAACTGAGAAAACAGCGTGATGAAGCGGTATGATGACTTTAGTTCCACTTCCTTTAACATTTTCTAACTTATTCTCAAGTTTAAAGTAGTATGTATTTGCACTTTGTAGGTTTGTAGTTTGAATAGTTCTTTCATCTAGAGTTATGCTAAAGAAATAAGTTGAGGAAAGTTCCCTTTTTTCTCTAGTATGATTCATGAATGCCAAATATTTTATCTATGTTGCTCAGGTGCCCAGTAAGCTTCTTAGCCCAATAGGGGGTACCTTTATGCAAAGTTTCTCCTTTTATAATTGATTCATTTGCCACTTTTTTATTTGGGATTTTCTACATTTTAGAACAACATCTTTATAAGTTATTTGGTCCTTTAAGTTTCCCCATATTGATTTTTATTCATGGACTAATATGAAATGTTGGGAAAAGTAAGTGGAAAGGCATATCCTTGTTGTCTTGTATATTATCCAAACTTGAGTGTTTTCACCCACCACTCTTCTCTAAACTTGGATAGATTGGTTTCGCAGTTCATAGGCTGACACAATTAGTTTCCATGGATGGATGGACACTACCAGAATCTTTTTTTTTAATAAAAATATATTAAAATATAAAAAGAAAAAAATCAAATGTTCATTTACAAAAATGTTTATCTAAAACAGGGGAACTCTCAAATGGTTTCCAAGATTTAATTGGACAATCTCAGAATTAGAACTTTGCAACTAAAAAGAAATTTTGTTATTACTTGTATCCTACTATTTTAAAAATACTCTAGACTCCTTACAAATGGTTGCATGCATTGAGGCAGAGAATGTGATTTCATGTGTTCTTAGGGCTCAGTTTGGAAAGAGTACAAATGCAAATATGTACAGCGTAAATACATACAAAATAATACAAAATATAAGGTTTTGCACTCTACATATTTGCATTTGTACTCCTTCCAAACTCAGCCTAGCGTACTGCATTTACAGGAAAAACTGAGAGAATCCTAGGTTCCAGGAAATCTGAAGAATGATAATTGATTAACCAATCAAAAATGAATAATAATTGATTAGGAACTTTGCGAATCATGAGGCCTTACTGATTTGAACTAAACCTCCTATGCCTTATGTGATGATCTTAATCATAACACCCTGGGTCAATGATAATTATTCTCATGTAAATGTTTTCAAATAAATTGTTCCAGCGTTTGCTCATAACAAGACCCTATAGAGTATTTTGTACTTGGGAGATGTGTATTTGAGTCTACAGAAAAACCAATGTTTATGTACATTTTGACCATTCTATGAAAGAAAATGCATGCAAAAATAGACCCTATTAAGTATTTTGTACTTGGGAGATATGTATTTGAGTCTGCAGAAAAACCAATGTTTATGTAGATTTTGACCATTCTATGAAAGAAAATGCATGCAAAAATAGACTGTGTTAGATGTAGTTCAAAGGATATGCCAACCATGAAATCCTTCAAAAAGAAAATGATGAGATGCTAAATTTTAGGATTTCCTAACTGCTCCATATTTTGAAAGTTGATTTCAGTCATAGTTTTTACTTCTAGAGCATGCAAGGCGGATTTTCCTGTGGGTAAAGAAGATAATATAGATGCAAATTTAATCTCAGGGTTTATTTATAAGGGGGGATCAAGAAGTTGAAGGTGTTATTTTAGCCATCTTTAAGGATGTAATCATTTGGACTGTGGAATATCTTGTTTAATACCTTAAATGATGAGGAGAATTGAACAAAGATGTGCCAATGGGTATAAACCCCTTTAAGGGATTAAGATTCAGTTTGAGGCTTGTTATTTACTGTCATGTTATCAACCTTGTACTTATAGGGAGCAAGTTTCAAAATTTTGCAACGTATTGGGTCGTATCGACCGATATGTATTGTTCCGACAAGAGCCCGATACACGGAATGTGTAGAAATCATCCGTGCCATTTTTTTCGTATGTATCGGACCAATACAGGCCTGTATCAGGCTGTTTCGGCCGATACGGGCCGGAAACAATCCAATACAGCCCGATACACTTGATTTTTTTTTCGGGTGTCCTTCATTCATTAATCTCTTTAATTACCTCTATATTTAATTCTAACTTTTCTTTCATTAATTAGTCAATTACTGTTACTTTAAATTTAAATTTGAATTTTAGCGCCTAATTTGAATTCTCTTATTAATTCCACTAATTAATGATACTCTCATTAATTCCACTAATTAATGATCCTGTCTCATTAATTTCGTTTTGTTGGTATAAAAACTACAAACTTTAAACAATGGCAAGATTCGAACCTTAGTCAGTAGGTTTTAACAACTACAAGTCACCACTAGGCCATACCCATTTATTTGTTATAGTCATATGCATTATTATTTTTACGTAAATTTTCTCTTTTCTTAATGGATATTTTTTAATAAATGCTAGAATTAATTATTAAAATTTATATACTAATAAATATTAATATAAATTGATTTACACACATAACATTTCTATTGGTTATTTGAAAATTGATGTATACACATTCATATTTTAGTTTTTTTTTTGTTTTCTCACATTTTATTTATTCCATCATTTTTCAACAGTTATTAATTGTAATTATTTACAATTAAATGGTTGTAAATATGCATTTTTACATTTAAATAACTTATTTACAATCATTTAAAACTTATAATTATTGTTAGTAATATATTTTTAGGATATATTTGAATTTCCTAACATATTTATACGTATCTTAATTTTTCGTCCATATCTATGCGTATCCAAAGCGTATCCCGATACGTCTCTTAAAATTGTCTTTCCGATACACCTTGCATTTCTGATACTTTGAACCATGATAGGGAGGGCAAGGTTTGAAGGGTCATGTTGGTTTCCATGTATGAATAGTTTTTTCTTTAGTTGTCTACTTTTCTAATTCCAATGTATGAATGGAGGATGTTGTGACAATACTAAGGGCAATGTACTGCATTGCCATCCTGGTGTGGTGAGGAGTGACCAAGGTTAAGATACGGTATTCAGTATTCTTTACAAGTGATGTGCCATAAAGGCATCCAAGTTGTAATGACAAATTGGCAAGTGGGAAAATCATCCAATTTGCATTGCCATCCCTTATCATTCTGGATGGGCATGGGAAAAGAAGAGACTTTAGGGAAAGTGCGGCCTGACAAAGCCATACACATTGACATCAAAGAGCTTGGGATTGATGGATACTGTGACAAGGAGCTTACTGGCTTTCAGGAGATCATGGTGGAGTGGAATTGGGATGGGTGCAGAATTCAGTTGACCTCCAGTCCCATGATCTAGACAGCATAAAATGAAAAAAAGTCTGTAGATATGGAGGTTGATAGCTATGAACTTAGGTACATATAAAACAATAATTATAGGAATTGGGTAGGGATAATTGTAGTAAAACTTCAAATCCAGAGTTGAAAATGGAAAGGGAAGGGCAAAAAACAATTGGTATAGATAGTGAAAAAAGAGAACTGTTTTAATGGGGTTTATGGCCCTAGATTGGAATTAGGAATAAGATTATACCAGCTCCACATAGGTTGACTTAAAAGATGACACTGATCATGATAATGCCTGTATTCCTTTTTCCACAATGGTGGTAAAATGGCCTTTTTTCCCTCCCAATTAATTCCTCTTCATTCACCAGATGATAGATAGGTGTAGTAACTTGACAATGGTTGAAAATTGATGTCCTTGTCAGTTCTAGAAGAAATAGAAAAAGTTACTCAAAAGAGTTATCTTGAAAAAAAGTAAGAAAGTTGGGCATGTTTCATTACCTTTGTGATTTGAGTTGTCCTTATAAGAAATAAATTTCTTCTTAATTGAATAATAGACCATGCTTTTTGTTTGTTGTGGTCAGTAATGAAGTGATCATATTTGCAGCCACAGAAGCAACTGGGGACTTCAGTTTTTTGTTTTGTACAAGTTGACCAAAACTATATTCACTTGGTCAATGGCCTGGAGTTGTGCAGTGAAAATGTTAGTTACCTAGGAAACCACCGATGTGGCTGGGATGCTTAAATGTTATGTTAAGACTTTACTTTTATTGTTAGTTTGAAACTGTTTAGCATTTAATTCACTAATTTGCTGAAATGATCTATATTGTATAAAAAAGGGGAGTGGGATGGTGGGTCTTATGGATATGGCATGGTGATATCTGTCACTTGTCCTTTTTAAGGTAGTGGATGGGTAGATTCAGAAAGTTCCCAACATGGACCCGACCAGAACTACAATTAGGTTGCCAACCTGAATTGTATAAAACCTGGGCAGATTGGCAAAAAAGAATTCTTCTATCAATATAATCAGGTTGGCTTGGGTCAGAAAATGTCAATCTGGATCCATCCCAAATATGATTGAGTCAGGCTAACCTAAATGAAAAATGAACTGGGGTTGATCGGTTTATTGTGAATACTGCCTCTCAAAATAACCATCTTTTTGAAATTTTGAAATGTCTAAAGTTTATATTACATTGTATTTCCTTTTTTATAAAAAAGAAATTGTATTAACTTTTGTGCTAGCAAAATATAAGGGATGCCTAATTTTAATCCTGTTTTCTGATGCTTTTTTTGTGCTTATTTGTTCATTCAGAATGCTCACTATTTCCAAACTCGTGCACTCTTACATAATGCCCGAGAACTTGCTGCAAAGAAGGATATAGCTGCACTGGAAGAACTATCTCACACAGAGGTCTGTTGGATCACTTATTATCCATCCTATCAAGGATCTTTGTGCAACCTCCCTTTTCAGAGATATTTTGGTGTTCTTAACTTTTATTTTGTCTTTCCATGGTCAGGTTGAGAAATTCATGTCCCTCTGGAGTAGCAATAAGACTTTCAGAGAAGATTATGAGAAAAGAATCTTGCCATCACTTGATGCCCGTCTGTTAAGTAGGGATGGAAGAATGAGGAACCCCGACGAGAAGCCATTGTTTTCAGTGGCACCGGCACTTACTGAACTAGAGGTAGTGGCAAAGGCCAACCTAAAACAACCAAAAGAAGATTATAGACCTACTACCCAAAATGATGTCATTCCTAACAAGAAGGTACAGAAAGAACACAATGATAAATCAACAGAGTTGTCCACAGTGAAAGTTGGTAATCAAGATGAGAACATATCTGGATTTGAAAAACCAGTTAAGGAGTCTTCTACTGTCAATGAGATGGATGCAGAAAAGTTGAAAGAAATGAAAAGAGAAGAGGAAATTGCAAAAGCTAAGCAGGCTTTTGAGAGGAAGAAAAAGTTGGCAGAGAAAGCAGCAGTTAAGGCAGCTGTAAGGGCTCAAAAGGAAGCTGAAAAGAAACTCAAGGAAAGTATTATTTTCATTTCTTTCTTATCTTAGAAAATGTTTACAATCTAATTTCCTTTTCAATGGGAACTTGAGATCTTGATGCACCCTATGTTTTCCTTGGACTCTTCAGGAGCGAGAAAAGAGAGCAAAGAAAAAGGCTGCAGCAACACAACCTCCGATCAGTCCTGAGGAGCAGACTGAAGTAAATGGAGAGGTTGCTGAACCAGAAAAGGCAGAAGAAAGTGTTGAAGGTCCAGTCCCATCAAAGAGTAAAGATCAAAAGGAGAATACGGTTAGGTATAGAACTCGAGCAAGAGGTCAAGACCCAGTTCCAAAAGTCATGTTTAAACGGAAGAAGTCAACTCCCTACTGGGTCTGGGCTGTTCCTGCTGCTTTGATGGTGGTCATGCTCGTGGCCCTTGGTTACTACTATTTTCTATGAAAAACCAAACAAGTAGGTAATTTTAGACTGGTTAAAGATTAATTTTCCGGCTGATGAGCTTGCAACTGGCTTGTCCTTGTAGTGGGCAACTTTTATTCTTGTTTTTTACATCCTTGGGAGGGGATGGACTATAAGATCATAATGTTGTTGGTTGCTCATGCTGTGCTGGAGCACCTTGAGGGATTGCAGCCAAAGCATATTTTTAGTTTTATTGGTGTACTTCTAACTTCTAAGCTATGACACCTTAATGTTCAAAGTTTATATTTAATGCCATGTTGAATAGTAAATCTGATCGAGCAGGCTTTAGATTGGCCAATCTGTTGTTGTCATGGTTCAAAGTATCGGAAAAGCAAGGTGTATTGGAAAGACAATTTTAAAAGATGTATCGGGATACGCTTTGGATATGTATAGATATAGACGAAAAATTAAGATACATATAAATATATGCTAGGAAATTCAAATATATCCTAAAAGTATATTACTAACAATAATTATATGTTTTAAATGATTGTAAATAAGTTATTTAAATGTAAAAATCTATGTTTACAATCATTTAATTGTAAATAATTACAATTAATAACTGTTGAAAAATGATAGAATAAATAAAATATGAGAAAACAAAAAAAAACAAAAATATGAATGTGTATACATCAATTTTCAAATAACCAATGTAAATGTTATGTATTTACATCAATTTATATTAATATTTATTAGTATATAAATTTTAATAATTAATTCTAGCATTTATTAATAAATATCCATTAAGAAAAGAGAAAATTTACTTAAAATAATAATGCATATTACTATAACAAATAAATGGGCGTGGCCTAGTGGAGACTTATGGTTGTTAAAACTTAATGATTAAGGTTTCAATCTTGCCATTGTTTAAAGGTTGTAGTTTTTATACTAACAAGACGAAATTAATGAGAGAGTATCATTAATTAGCAGAATTAATGAGAGAATATCATTAATTAGTGGAATTAATAAGAGAATTCAAATTAGGCGCTAAAATTCAAATTTAAATTTAAAGTAACAGTAATTGACTAATTAATGAAAGAAAGTTAGAATTAAATATGGAAGTAATTAAAGAGATTAATGAATGAAAGGCAGCCAAAAAAAATCAAGTGTATCGGGCTGTATCAGATTGTTTTGGGCCCGTACCGGCCGAAAAAGCCCGATACAGCCTGTATCGGTGCAATACATACGAAAAAAACGGATCGAATGATTTCTACGTGTTCTGCATATCATGCTCTTATCGAGGTAGGTCCAGGAACAATTATAGATCCATATTTTAATATGTTTCACTAATTGATTATTAACTCATTTTTAGTTCCATATTTACCCTAAAAACAAATTGATATATGCATATAACTTTGGCATCATCTCTTTCAGGTATTGGAACCACGACAGTCCTTAGAAATATTTTACATTGCAAGGGAATTCCAAGCGAAACAAACCACCCTGACTAACACTGCAACTTCTGAGGTTTGTTCCAGAAATGAAGCATATAATTCACCTCAACAGACTTCTACAAGCTGGCTTGCCTTGATAAGGAATCGGTGCCTGTGACTGATGTTCCACTATGATAAAAATTTCAGTGCACAGATTCAGCTAGGGATGGGAGGTGTACCCATCTCAACTGACCCCTCCAGAACTTGGACAACTTTCCCCATTGATGGCCAATCTTTCTCATCATCTTGAATGCACCAACAAGCCACTTTGCAAGCTCTTGTTAGCTCTTCTATGTCAGCACGACCCTCCAACCTCTTATCTAACAAGCCAACAACATCTTCTCCTCTGTTCATCTTGTTCAGAGTCCTATAGGGTTTCCATTCCCATCCTCATTCTCAATTACGTCCAGGTTTCTCCTGCCTGATATAACCTCTTAAACCACCATTCCATAGCTATAGACATCGGCTTTTGGTGTAACAGCTACTCGGGACATCCATTCTGGCGCCAGATAACCTCTGGTCCCTCGCATTGTGGTGAGAACCCTGCTGAAGTCCCTGTCGAACAGCTTTGCTAGCCCAAGGTCAGCCACTTTTGCATTAAATTCAGCATCCAAAATATGTTTTCCGGCTTGGTATCACAGTGTATGATGCATTTCCTGCAGCTCTCATGGAGGTAGGCCAATCCCCTGGTAATAATGCCCAGTAAAATTTTGTATCTGGTTTCCCAGCTGGCGTAGGTAAATCATCTCGAAACAAATGAGAATTCAGTGAACTATTTGGCCATAAACCTCTCAGTACGATGGACATAAAAACCCCAAAGGTAAAGCACATTGATGTGCTGCATTACGCCGATGGTACTCACTTCCGCTCGGAATTGTTGCTCTTTCTTTCTGAAACTTAAAAATTCTCGACTTTGTAAACAGAACTAAAACCTCCTTTCCCTTAATTCCTCAGAGAAGTTTTTGGTGGCAATACATAAATCCCTATACTTAAAAACCACCAAAAAACTCTCCAGTCGTGTCCATTGCTGCAGTAAACCGTTTCCCTCATGCATCTGCAAACAATCATCACGATAATGCCCAATAGGATTATAACCCCTGCAGCTGCTCCTCCAATGGCGCCCAACGTTGTTCTTATCGTTTTATGTCTCGAGTCCCTGGGAACCCCAAGCCGGATATGGAGATCTCTTCCGCTAGCATTTTCGGCTGGGAGTGCTTTCACATTTTGCAGATCTTCTAGCTATATTGAGTATATATTAAATTCAGACAATTCAACAACAAAGGAATATGCAGTACAGGAACAGTCGTGTGATCATACTAATTTGCATTCTTCGACATTTTCAACTGCTAAAAACAAATGCGGTTTCGGAACTAGCAGGTTGGACGTCACGGAGAACATGTCATTTCTTCCATCGGAGCATTGTAAAGGGGTTTTCCTCACACACCCCTCCGAATAATCACCCCAAAGTCACCGTCCTTTATTGAATTTTGGTTCAAAGCATTCACAGTCTGGAAATAAAAGATCCCTGCAGATACCATAAGACCCGCACAGCCCAGAAACATTACAATGCTCCAAGAGCTCATCGTAATAACTCCGTCGGTTCACAACCACATACCAGAGCTTAATCATTCCTGACGCATCCATCGCAATTCTTGAAATATCAGCAACATCATAACCGTCATAGGTAATATAACTCTTGTTCTCATTTGAAACATAGATGAACTTTGTACCCTCCCACTGTGACACCTTATATGAAGGAAAGGAGGATCCGTTCACTCCGCCGGTAGACCAGTACCTCCGAGACCCATTCCATAGCAAGACCAACTGACTGCTTCCATGTGGGTCTAATTCGAGGGAAGCCATGTATCGGTTGGGTGATCGAAGTTCTCCCAGATTACAGCAGAGGAATCCGATCTTTCTTCTATCAACACAAGATTTCCATTCCATTGTCAAGAAGCCTTGCAATAGTAGAATTGGGCATTTGTATGGTTGAATTTGTGGGCCAAATTTGATTTTTGGAGTGGTCGAGAAGGACTAGATTACCATCTTCGGAGATTTTCAATTGAGAGGACAATGGGTAGGAGAGGGGTTGATCTCTGTTTGCAACCCAAACAACGGTTCGATATGTAATAGAAATATTTTTATACCAGATGCCTATGTAGTAGTTGTTAGACTTACCGCGTGTAAAGAAACCAAGCTCGAAGATACCATCACGAGAGACTATGGTTTGGGTTCCCGAGCCGAGAGAGACTGGCCTGCAGAGATGGTATCAACTCCATTGGACAGATGCATTTCAAAAGTGAATAAGAAGAGAGCAAGAGCGTGAAGAAAGAAAAGTGCCTTTTCTCTAGCACCCATCTCCGTAGAAGCTTTCACCGTAATTCTGATTTGTTCAATAAGAAACTGAAGAGTGTATTGCAGTGTTGTAGTAGGGCAGTTCTCCGACTCTGAGAATCCAATTCTGAGTTCTGACCTAAAAAAGTGAACTTACTAGAGAATCAGACTTCATTATCGAGTCAACCCAGGAGTCGTTATCTTGACCGGAACAAATCGGGTTAGTCGGATCAAACTGAGACAAACCAGATTTGCCGTATAAAACCAGTCAGTCCAAGTCCAAATGTGTTATTTATGCTCTCATTCTCACTCTCAGCCTCTCAGGTGGACGTTGCAAAATCCAAATCTAAGATACGATCGAATATGCAAAATGAGTAACCTAGTCAGCTGGTGATCTAGCGGATCCCATATCCACAATCGTCTTAGGCACTACAACAAAAATACAGATATGGTGGAATCAATATCAGATCCATATTTTGCTCGGTTGGGCGGGTCTATTCATTTTAAACCACGGATCCTCGTGTTAATTCAGACCCGAAAATACGGGTATGGAGTGGGGCAACTCTCGAATCAGACAACCTCTGCTTTATATACCTCTTAGACCCCGTTTGTTTTTGGTAAGTTATTTATCCGGGTAAATGCAATTATTTGAGTAAGTTTCTCTTGAAAAACACTTATCCGGTTTAGCTCTTTTATCTCCTAGGTAAATAAGGTGATAATGACCATTTTAACTATAAAAATCCATTATTAAAGAGGCATTTATGTCTCATTCAAGTGTTAGCAACTTTTCCCCTAAGTGGAAAAGTTATTTAATCACCTAGGATATGGGTATCACTTACCCCCTGGTCCCCACATAAATCTGAAAAATGAACATGGGATTCTTGATCAATAGGAACCAAAATCCCATTAACCAACTTTCCCCCCTCTCAAAATCCAAAAAAAGAACACCCCCTTAGGGGCTCTGGATCTCCTACCCACAAAAACTCTTGTTTAATAGTTTATTACTTTAACCCTACATATATGATGTCATATTACAGTAACTTTGCTGATGTGGCAATTGTTTTTTCAAACAAAATCACATATATTCGATGAATTCCCCTCAAAAAATTTCTAAAATTTAAACAACTCCGCAAATCAACCCCGTGACAAAATTTGCAAACTATGGAGAATCTGAATCCGCTATGACATAGCATTAACATTAGGCTTTAGCTCAGTTTGTTTGCAGTTGGAACTTCATTTGGACTGTATAAATGTATGGGAGTGCAAGTAGGTTGATTGTAAATTTCATTTGCTTTTGCTTTGTTGAGAAGTAGTCTCATATTCTATCCTCCCTCATTAAGTCACATATTTAAAGATATAACTCCCACTCTCACTCATTGAATTCTCTAATTAAGGTATTTTTGCTTTCCATGATTGAGTTCTCCTAATTAAAAAAATCCATGTTTTAAAACTAATCTAGAAACAAGGGCGATCATCTTTTTTCCAGTGGCTGGCAAGCAGTTGAATCATTTGGTTCAAATTGGTAAACTCA